CATCTAGTTCTGAAACGTCGAACAAAAAACTATTTTCAAAATATTTTCATTATTATTTGGATTTTCAGTTCGCAACACAACACATATATTTGTTTCTATAAATAAAAAGATGTTAAGTTATGAGATATTTTTATTAACTTGCTATAGTAAAACACAAACCAAAAATATGAATAAACGATTGTTAAATATAACTGAGAAGGTTATAAAAACAAAAATAATATAAAATATAAAACTGCAAAATTCAAAAACGATATTGAGATATGTTAGATATATTCACAAACGATGAATTAGATTGGACAATTGGTCGCATTCTTATAGACTTTTTGTTACTTTACTATATGTCTTTTTCCATTAGTTATATATAATATATGAATATATAGGCTGTCAATTTTGAGCCCTTGGCAACAGTGAATACGAAACGGTCGTCATTTTACGGAATGTAGATATAGACCAAACTTGGTATCGATTTTCTTACAAAGTTTTAACTTCGAACAATATGAATGATCTGGAGGACGACACGACTAGAACGTGGTTTCTTTTACTTCATCTAATCAATGTTATGAAATCGTTGCGAATCACAAATGCCGCAAAAATCGTTAGCATTATTAATAATATTTATCTTTATTATTTTACTTCTATGTTTTAAATTTATCTTAAATTCTCGCTATATTATCGTCAATTTTTGGCTCTCACCAGTCAATATTATATTTACATGAAATTTTGTATAACTTCATATGTTAATTATATAAAATAGTTATAGCTAATCCGGGACGGTCCCTTAGTGTTAATTGACATTTAAGCTCGTCAGTAGAGTTTCTTTGTTACTATATTAAATGACATTTTACCAATATGCGAATTTGCTCGTCAGTATAGTAATTTTATTTTTATTAAGTGACATTTTACCAATAATTTTTTAATTTGCTGACAAGAGTTTTTTTTGACACTGAATGACATTTTATCAATTTTCGAATTTGCTCATAGTAGAGTTTTTGTTCTGAATTTCTTGTCAAGTTGTTTCAAATTATTCTGAGTCATATGACACCAAGTTTGTGAAAAGAAAAATCTTTTGTTTTCTTGATATAGGCCATTTAGTCTGTAGTCACAAAACTGCCAGAAAACTATACCTATTAAAAATAAAAATGCTTTTTTCAAATATACCAATTTATTGTTGCTTGATTCGTAATCTCCATGGCAAGAGAGTTTATTTTACATATTTTTACATTAACAAGAATTTGAAATGGCGGATACATGTTTATGGTGGGAAAAAACATCATTACCAAAATCATTAATAATGATATCGGGACATTGGAATTACAAATATATATAATATATACATAAAAAATATGACAAAACAATTATATCCTATACCTATTAAACGAGCAATAATTAATATTTTTAACACTCTCAAATGCAAAAACTATAACCTCTAAATAGCACAAATGTCAAATAACATTATTTCAACTTTACTCGTATAAGTGCAACACTTTAGATCTTTTTGATGTTATTTCCTTAATGGTTAGTTTTGCTGTCGCCATATAACATAAAATATGTGTGCGAGAATACCTATTCAACTTATAGTTATGTTTTTAATAAAATAAATGTCACTGTAAGATTGTATCTGAGAATTGGCCCATAAATGTAACCAATTATCTTCGTCCTCCCTATCTTATGTTAAACGCACATTAAAATAACAGCTAGAGCAAATAATCTTATCCTTTCACAGGTCTTTAATATCTCATTACAATCTCGTCAAGTCGCATTAGCATCGTTCATTTATTTAATGTAATCATCTCATTATATTCATTCGAATTTTATTCGATTCACTTACCTACCTTTATGTATTGTATGCGTTTATAGTTAGTTGGTGATTGATTCGTTTTGCGACTAAAGCTCTCTTTGCGATAAAGTGAAAGAAGGAGAGGGACGAACGACTCTTTGCAACGCGTCTAGACTGCGTCTAGCCAGGCGAGATGTGGAATAAAAAATAGAGACTTTAAGTAGATGTAGTAGGTGTAGTGGGTGTAGTGGGTGTAATGGGTGTCTTTGACTTTTACTATCGATATATAATGGTGATGTAAATATCATATATTAGTAGATGATAGATGAGAAATGGTTGTTTGCAATGTGCAATGATGGACTTTTGCATCAATTCTTGGAGAAATTTTTTCAAAAAAATATTGGGCGAACAGAATGGTCTTTAAATTGCTGCCTTGGTGAAATCAATCAGTACTTCATTATTTGTCAAATGATTCATTTCAGGGAGCGTCCATTAATCACGTGATCGTTTAAAGGATTCTTGAACGCCTCCGTTCCCTTGGTGATACGTGGTTATATTCAAAATTACTTCCCCTCTCCCAACAAACATCAGGTGTATTTTTAGTTACGTGAAAAATTGTAATATTTTTAATTTTTTTATTGAAAATGTTTGGATTTAAAAAAAAACAGTTAAGAAATAGTTTCCTCACGTGATAATATATGATTTTTTTTTATCCAATAAATGACAATTCAATTCAATAAATCACACTTAGTCAACTAATTCTAATTGAATTTACAAAATCAATGAGAAAGAATAAATATGCAAACATTTAGAAAAAAAATGTTGTGTACCTGATGTCAGTCCTAATTATGTTGTAGGATTTATATCTTAATGTTTTTTTTTAAAGTAATGCTTTCAATTATATAATTATAGTATAATTTTGTTATACATGTATGGTAGGACGGGAAACAAAGATCTAATTTGAGCAATTCTATGGAGAAAACCAAAGCAATTATATCAAAATAAATAACCCATATCAAACATCTATATGACTATGGTCAGTAAAACACTCCAGCTAAATCATCATTGGAGAAATATGTTGATAGGGTAAATTGTAACCAGGGGGCACTTGGTCCAATGTCTTATTCCTGGTCCAGTGTCTTATTATATTTTTACGGAATTTTACGAAATAATAGTTACATTATGCAACCAATGTACAATATAAATTTCATGGATACTATTTTAACAAAGATTACACTCTACATAACTTGATGTGATATTTCGTCAGAAATATTCATCAGCGGAGTTGAAATAAC